TAGTAAATTAAATTAATTAGTTTCGTTTTCTTTTCTAACTAACTAACGTAAGTACTTATTACTACTAGTCTAGTAAGAATACGTAAAGTAAACTAACCTCCTCTCTCTCTCTCTCTCTCTCTCTCTCTCTCTCTCTCTGGGGTTCATCTGTAAGAGGATATACATTTGGATTAATTCTTGCTTTCAGAGAAGATTTTGTTAATGGCTGGCATGATTTCAGGTGGGCGGGTTCGGAGGAAGTTGCGGAGGCTATGTTCAGCGTATTTTTGGCCTTCTTCTTCATTGTCAAGGACAGCCGAAGTGCGATGAGCTTTGTTGATTCTGCAAAAACATGACAGTGGTGGTCCATGGAAGATTAGTATAACCAAGAAAGAAAAAATGCATGGTTTTTCTTCTCTTTTTCCTCCTCACCGATTGGTTTTGCTACTTTTTGAGAAAAAGGGTAGCCGGATTTAGAGTTGAAAAATAAAATTGAGAGAGAGACCTAACGTCCGGGTTGAGGAGTAGGTTCCGGGTGAGCTGAAAGATGCACAAACTCGTGACAAAGCCCATGGCGGCCATCAGAGGGTACACCTGAAATGCATCGTGTATGTGAATTAGTCCATGCAACCAGTGTTCGATGGAACGACTCGGGCCGTACTCGTGCCCAAGCTGAGTACTCTGGCCGAGTAATGTATAAAAAAATGTTAAAAAATAATAAAATATATATGAGAAATATATGTTTAAAGTAAATTTTTTTAAAAAAAAAATCTAATTGAGGTTAAAAAAGTAGTACAAAATAGATTTTGAAAAAATCAATTTGTAATCGGGGGTATTTTTTAAATAATCCAAAAAGAAAGAAAAATGTAAAAATAAGTATTCATGGCCAAAATACTTTCCAACCTTTGTCAAAATGATAGAACGCATAAACAAAATATGTTACAAATAGATTTCTAAATTTTAATTTTTTTAAGATCCTACACCCAACTCAGATTTCTTCATCTTTTGTTTTTTTTTTTAAGTTTCCCAAATTGAACGCCAAGCTCGGGTATTTACTCGGGGGAGTAGTTAAACTCTGCATGCAAAAGAAAGAAAGCGAGGCCAATGTATTGTGTTATGTGAATTAGTCCATGCAAGAGAGAGAAAGAGTGAGAGAGAGAGAGAATGCTTGGTAAAGCCAGGTTCATTTTAGAGAGAGAGAGAGAGAGGGTAGAGAACAAGGTACATCCGAGTTGGGACCAATGCTAGGATCTCTCTTTCTGAAATTCTTGTCAAGAAAATAACAGAAAATTGAGAGCATGGGAAAACTTACCTCAGGCTTAATCCACCTTCCCATTTCTGACAATCCAACAATTTCCTTTCTTTTAAATTCGTTAGTGAAAATGTACTTCTTTCTCTCAATATATGATTTAGTTAATATCTCTCTCCTTTTATATAAAGAGATGAAGATAGGGACCTTCCTACAATCAAGTTTCGGTTATATTTGGAGCAGCGCGTCGAGGATAAACAAGTCGTAGGTCTTGACTTTGGTACTTTTTGGGCAAAAGCCCATGGTTTATCACAAGCCAACAGGTTTTCCAAAGCATCTTTCAAACACACATTGTGCTATCCAATTTTCCTAAAAGACCCTTATCTTTCATAGTAATGTCATCTCTCTCTCTCTCTAGGTTTAGTGATAGGGCAGTTGTTCAATAGCTTTCTTTTCTTTTTTTTTTTTTTTTTTTTTGAAGCTTATTACCGGTTTATAAAGTTGGATAATATGGATAGACGGATTAAAAAAAGACACAAAAAAAGAAGAAAAAAGAGAGACCCAGCCGAGAATTGAAACTCAGTTCTTCCTATTTCGTTGGATACGAAGGATAATTGTGTCATTTCATCAAATCCAACAGTCCTAAAATTAACTTTAATAAGAGGAAGTAGAAGCTAAAAATAACCAGTGGCATTTAGTGATTTTTGACGAGGAATTCCTTGGTGAATATTGTGGGCCGCAAGAAAAACTTTAACCTAAAAATACCAGGGGCTACGAGTCCCATTGTTTTAGAGAGTCGTTTAAGGGTTTTTTCCATTGACTATTTCTTGAGCTTGAGAACCATCAAAGGTCAAAACACATGCTCTCCGTCCCTTAGGACTGGCAATGGGCCAGATGGCCTGGCCCGATCACCCAGCCTTGGAAAATTAGCCTTTCAGCTCTCCAAAGTAGGGCCAGCCCAAGTTGGCTTAGCGTGACCTTTTTTTTCTTTAATTTTTTTTGTTTTTGGTTAGAACCAGTGTTTAAAAAAAAGTCGAGTCGAATCGGACTCGCCCGGTTCGACTCAGCAATCGCCATGGACGGATCGAATTGGCAAAAAAAACGGGAATCGTCCTGTTCTAGAGAGAACCGGACGATTTTGTACAGTGACTCGCCGATTCACTGTACGGAATCGGCGAGTCCCGTACGATTTTTTTTT